TTAATCGATGCGTCAAAAACAGTGTTCCATGCCCTAGAAGCTTGTTTCAATCCATAAATGGATTTCTTTAATTTACACAACATGTGCTCATTGCCACTTTTTATGAAACCAATTGGTTGTGCCATATAGATGCACTCATCAAGACTTCCATTTAGAAAAGCGGTCTTGACATCCATTTGCCAGATCTCATAATCGTAATGAGCCGCAATGGATAAGAGAATCCTTATGGATTTAAGCATGGCTACTGGCGAAAAGGTTTCCTCATAATCGATCCCTTCTTTTTGAGTAAACCCTTTTGCGACAAGCCTAGCTTTAAAAGTTTGCACTTTTCCATCCACTCCTCTCTTTTTCTTATAGATCCATCTACAACCTATGGGTTTGACTCCAGTACGTGGTTCTACAAGATCCCAGACTTGATTTGAGTACATGGACTCCATTTCAGATTTCATAGCATCAACCCATTTATCAACATCTATATCATGTAGTGCTTCGTCGTAATTAATAGGTTTTCTAGTAGGCTCTTCAGGGATTCTATCGTAAGATTCTCCCAAGAGCGCAAACCGGAGAGGTTTTCTAATGATTCTCCCACTACGACTAGTCACTACAGGTGGAGGCTGATTTTGTTGTTGAATGACATCACCACTTCCTTGAACTGAAGCCTCAATGTTATTTTCCACACCAAGCGGTGCTAGGATATCATTGACTTCTTCCTGGATTGCAAGATCCCTCCCAGATTGGCTCTGAGAATCAGAGGCGCTGTTCTGCCGTGGTCCTGCCGCGGTTACGCCAGGACCGCGACCAGAGGGGCCTGCAGAATCAGCATCATCGTTTTGCTGCGGTCCTACCGCGGTTACGGCAGGACCGCGGCGAGAGAGGCTTTCGGATTCTTCAGGTTGCATAACAATTTCAGGTTGTTCAACAACCTGAAGTTGCTCAACAATCTGAGGTTGCTCAACATTATTTCTACTACTTTGGGGTAGTGAGATGTCAGGCAATTGTTCTTGTGCAATCTGCTGCCTATTGACATTTCTCCCACTACGATAATGCAGTGGTATGTCAATGCTGGCTTCCGGGATGCGTTCAAGAGATGAGTCTTTAGTTATTCCATTGTTTAATTCCTGTAAAACTAGTTTACTTCTAGGAATATGGTTCGTTAGATAGTCCTCTTCTAAGAATCTGGCATTTGTCGTAACAATTACCTTCTTTTCTTTGGGACAATAAAACAAACCGCCTTTTGTTCCTTTTGGATATCCAATGAAAATGCATACTTCTATCCTTGATTACAATTTATCCGCTTTCCCTTTCAGCACATGTGCTGGACAACCCCAAACCCGAATATACCGTAAACTTGGCTTTCGCCCAGTCCACAATTCTATTGGAGTTGAAGGTACTGACTTTGAAGGAACCAAATTTAGAATGTAGTTTGCTGTTTCTAAAGCATATCCCCAAAAGGAAAGAGGCAAATCGGAATAACTTAACATTGATCTAACCATTCCCATAAGGGTCCTATTTCTTCTTTCTGCCACACCATTTTGTTGTGGTATTCCTGAGGCAGATAATTGAGATGTAATTCCATTATCTGATAAGTATTTTATGAACTCCGCAGAAAGGTATTCACCACCACGATCAGATCGCAATGTTTTGATATATTTATCATGTCGTTTCTCTGTTTTCGTCTTAAATTCTTTGAATTTCTCAAAGCATTCAGACTCACGTCGCAACAGATAAATATATCCATATTTTGAGTAATCATCTGTGAAAGTCACAAAATACTCAAAACCACCTCTTGCTTGTATATTCATAGGACCACACAAATTAGAGTGAATTAATTCTAGCTTATCACTGGCCCTATTTCCTTTTGATGGAAAATGTCTTTTGGTCATTTTGCCTTCTAAACAGGATTCGCATGTTGGTAGTGACTCCACTTTTAATGAACTCAAAGGTCCATCAGAGACCAATCTCGAAATCCTATTTAGATTTATATGGCCTAGACGTAAGTGCCATAAATAAGTTTGACTCAATTCAGAAATACGTTTTCTTTTATGTGGTAGATTAATGTTATTTAGCTCTTTTGGTTGTTGTAGCACATGAGGAGATATATCAAGAATAAAAAGGTCATGTACTCTAGCAGCAGTGTAGATAAAACGTTTATTAAACTTAATAACAGCAGAGTTATTAGCAAAATAAATATTATAACCAGCATCCATTATTTTCGAAACTGAAATCAAATTCCTTCTAATAGAAGGTACATAGAGAACATCTTTTAAAACTAAAATTCTATCACTACTGAACAAAACTCTAATATCTCCTAAAGCTAAAGCTGGTGCTGGCTCGCCATTGGCTTGAAAAACGCAAACTTCATTCTCACTTAGCCGTTGCATTTCCTGAAACCCCTGCAAAGAATTGCAGATGTGATTAGTGGCTCCCGAATCTACACACCAAAACATGGTAGAAATAGCCGCTAAATAAGTGTCAACGACATTTAAATTTGAATTACCTTGCTTATTCAACTTTGCCAGATAGGCAGGGCATTGCTTCTTGTGATGCCCGGGTTGCTTGCAATGATAGCACTTGCCTTTGGGCTTGTTCACACCAGCCGCACCACCAGGTGACAGAACCTTTTGATCCTTCTTCTTTTTCTTTTTGCCTTTCGACTTAGAAATTGAAGGTTTCTCAACATTGAAAGCCACAACTAGAGCTTGTTGTTTAATAATAGATTCTGCCGCTTGCAGCTCATTCAACAATTTCGCTAGTGACAAATCCATTTTGTTCATATTATAGTTCAAGCGAAACTGTTAAAAACTGTTAGGCAGAGTCTGCAGGACCATCTCAACTTGAGACTCCTTATCAATCACAGCTCCAAGTACCTCCAGTTCATTCAGAAGACTCATCATCTTCAGAACATGGTCCCTGATCGATGATCCTTCAGCCATCTTTGTGTTCAAAAGGGCTTTCATGGCTGTCTGCTTGCTGCGCGAATTTTGCTCACCGACATCTCTTTGAGACTTTCGAGCATTATCGAAGCAGACCCTGGACTCTTATGCTGATGATGCAAACATTTTGCCATCGTAAGGCAAGAAGAATAAATCACCCGCAGCCATCTCATCAGCCTTAACACAGTTTGTCATATGAGGCTTGACTATCACTGTAAATGCCCGTAGGTTGTTCCAGGTTTTTCTGGGCACGTGCCTTAGTGATTACAGTTTTCGTATAGACCTCAGCATTGGTACAAATTCAAGTTCCTTTTCCAGTCAACATAATTTGGTCCTTCTAGACTTGTTTTTGGTTCAAAATTGAGGTAGTGGGTTCGAATGAAGGACATGGTTAATATGGGAGAATAATTCACATTAAATAGATCATTACTTATGTAATTAAGAATGAATTAATTCAAAATTACACATTTAACATATAACATGCTCAAGTGAACAGGTTAGTTTTGTTAGGAAACTTAACTATTCTTGCGCAAAATATATGAGCTGAGTAGATATTGCAAGGACCCCATAAATTAAAACAGCTACAATCTCAGATGGGAGTAATCTGTTTAATGTTAAGGATAGGTAAAGATATCTAGTTTATACAATACGTCTAGTTTCACTTCAATAAATGTAGATTGCAGTTGGAGATTAATACAAGTAATCGAATACTAGAGGCTAAAGAAGAACAACAGTAATTATCTATAATGGAATTTATGCGATGTGGAAGAAGACCTATGTTCAACATACTAAATTCACTGTGAACCCGTTTAATTTAGGGTTTAGGAGAGCCCTAACATTGCGTGTTTTGGCAATTTGGGTCCCAAAGGTTGCATGTACTGAGGCAACGGCGCGGTCTACGCGGTTACGCCAGGCACCGCGGCTAGAGTGACCTTCAGAATAGGCAGTGTTTCTGTCGCGTCCTACGCGGTAACCCGGGACCGCGGCCATACAATACACTGAATTTCAAAAAAAATGTGTTTTGAGAGGATTAATCCAAAATTACAGAATATCATACAAAACATTCACGTTTTTAACATAGAATAATTATCCGAAACATGTATCAATGAATAACACGTTTTAATATTACTCTATGCATGTTGTATTACATTATCTAGTTAGATGTAAGACGGCGTCTGATACCAATTGTTAGATCATGCGCAGCGGAAACAATCATTCAATCAGGCATCAATTACATGTAAACTAGACAACGCAATAATAACGAGATTAGGAACACTAACCTCTTAAAATAATCGCACAAATCTCCCAAACAGCAAGGATCCAGGGCTGCAGTCTTCTGCTATATGCCTAGTAAAACTTTGGACACTTTTGCTTTTGGGTGGGCAAGAACAATACAACTCTGGGTCCATGATTAGGTGAAACCTGTCTCCCTTTTATAGACTCGAAATTAAGCCCTAAAAGGGAGCCCAAAATCGTGTAGGATTCTACAAGTAGAATCCTACTCTAACTAAAAAAGGGTAACTTTTCTCCCAAGCTACTTTTACCCAAGTCTGTCCAGGTTTTACTAGGTATAGCAGGGACCACAAAAATAATAAGAGGCTACTAATTATAGTATTAATTCTTAATTAGCATGAATTAATTCTTACTATAATTAATTGTAATTTATTCCACTAAAAACTGCAATTGAGCTCCTCAATATGAATTTGGAAAATTCATCAACACTTATTTTAACTCCCCATGTTAAGATTTCAAATACCAGTTAATTAAATTAAATTACTGAAAATTTAATTCAATTAACTAATTAAATCCTTTATAATTCCGCTTAAACCATCTCATGTGACGGATACAAAATTCACCGGCCGGGTTTTCACATGAAAACTTATAAGCTTATATAAAGGGGTATCATCAAACCTAAAACCAAGTCATGGATTCTATCAACTAATTATTATTCACAAATGTTATTTGTTATTGTCCAATTTATTAGGCATATACTAACTCTAAATAGAGTCGTACCTTTTGATAAATCAAAACAATAAACAAATTACATCGATCATAACAATTATATCAAGATTAGGAGTATAAGCTCATTTAATGAATTAGAGAAAATATTTTATATGTATTCAGTACAAAAATACCTTTTCTCTACTTGGTCCATTCAATATACACTGAGTATACTAGCACAAGAAGTTGGAGTAAACCTACTCCCATAATCAAGACAAGTTATACAATAATCTTGTGCTACAATCATCAAGATATTTTGTCCGATAATATCTTCGATTGTGAACATAGTTTATTAATTATGAGAACCAACAATTTAATCTTCTGTGCATGAGCTAAGACTCCATACACTAAATTGTCTTCTACATAATTAAAAGGACACACATGTTACAAATTATCTATTTAAAACAGTGCTTTATTGAATTGAATAAATTAAATAAATAATTATTTCATAATGAACAAAATATTATACTATGTCTAAACCGCATGGTTAATAGTATATCCCAACATCTACGGTCTGCCTCCAAACCTCCAGCCTCTCGTTAACACCACCCCGTGTCTCATCAATTAAAACTTATCATCTTTTATTGTTTACTTTACTTTGGTATCTTTCCACTTGTTTTGGAACTTTCTATATAAAATTAATTTAGCTTAGCTGTCTTGTGTTGTTTAGTGTTAGTGCAAGTTAAATTAAAGTTGATAAATAAGTAGAATTTAGTATTTTAAATGGATCAAACTCATGATGTTTGTTACAGTAAAAAATCTAAAGTTAATAAATTATTAAATTGTAAAGGTAAATAGTTCTGTTTTTAATATGGCTTGAAAACAAAATAAAGAGCGGCGGATAAATTTTCTTTTAACGTTTTATTAAGAACTAAAATAAAAAGCATAAGGTAAACCCTTTTTGTTTATTAATTTAGTATCACTTTAACTTTCGATTATATTTGAAGACTTTAGTATATATTTGAATCCGCTTGCATAAAAATCTGGGTCCGCCACGGACTATACTGATAGAGTTAAAAAAAAAATTATACAAAAAGCGTATATAACTTAAATGCTTAACGAAATCGTGTTTAACATGGTATTGTTAAAATCTCTCATTTAGGGGAATATTAGAATATTACCTGTGAGTCAAATGTTATAAGAACCATATTCAATCGTATAATATTTGATTGTACTTTAATCACCTTTGATGAACAAAATTTTTACTGTTATAAAACAATATTACTATATCTTTTTATGGTCAATGAATAAACAAATGCTTTTTGACAATGATTAGTCTATATAAATAGTTTTTCCAGGACCTAAACTGTACCATAAATAATACTAGAAATCATTAAAAAAATTAATGATTGTTTCCTTGTTGATATAGAGTTTATACCCAGGGGAGGAGCTAGCACGTGGGATACAAGTTCGACCGAACTCAGTAGCTTTGGTCCAAAGTCCAAATCATGTATTTGTGTTAAGAAATTCATTAGATACATATAAATTATTAATTTAGAATCCAGTGACTTAAGCGGCCTATAATTCGGAACTCATAAACTTTAAATTCTAGCTCCGCCTCAATTTATACCCAAGAGAGCTGAGGGTTAAATTTTTCTTTTACAGTACTGTGAATCTCTTGATGATTAATAAGATCACCACCGCAAGGTAAAGTAATCTTTTTGTTAAGACAAGTTAGTGGTCAAAGATCATATCTAATCTTTGATGATAAAAGCCAATAAATATGGAAACTTTTATTGCATAAAGTTGACATTTAAGTCTAATGTTTAGATCGTATGAATAAATAAGAAAATGACATGACATTGATATATGTCTTTGCGTCGTTTTTTTTAATACTACCGACAAAATATATAAAATAAAGTTGTGTTCATGAATTTACTTACAACTTGGTAAAATAAACTTTAAAAAATAATTTACTGCTCAATGGCATAGATTTAATGATTGGTTTTCATTAGAATTAGCTAGGGAACTCGCAATACGTGTAAATAGAGAATTGATAATTTGGCCAATTAATCAATTGCTATCTGCGATTGGATGATAGGCTATCTTGATTATTTTTGGGCTTTTTTCACTTTTTGCCATCGCTAGAAGTTATTTATATTTGATAGTCGAAAAAATATATAATTTTTTTATAATTTTTATATATAACACACAATATATATATATATATATATATATATATATATATATATATATATATTTTTTCGGCTATTATTTTGAGAACAACTATACATTGTCATTTTGCATTATTTTAGCTTGAAAAGTTAGATATATTAAAAATAGCCAGATTTACAACTGGTCATTCAAAAATAGCCCAATTTCAAAAGTAATCGAAATTTAGCCACTTTTTATATAAAGATAAATCTGAGCGAAAACACTGTTCAAAACCCGGAAAATACTCCAGTATATTATGCTGGAGTTCCAGCATAAGTACACTAGAACTCCAGCATAATATACTGGAGTTCCAGCAAGTATATTGGTCCAGTATAATATACTGGAGTTTGGAGCACCGGTGCTCCAGTCTCCAGTATATTATACTGGAGCCAGCAAAGTATACCGGTCCAGCATAATATGCTGGAGTTCATACACAAGTGCATCGAACTCCAGTATATTATGTTGGACCGGTCTCTATTGCAGCAAAATAGTGACTATTTTTCATTGACTTGGTAAACGCTGGCTATTTTTGATTGACCAGTCCGAAAACTGGCTACACCGTGCTATTTTTACATTAAGTCCTTGGCGGGATCCGTTGATTCCAATTGGGCCTTTGAAAGAGAATGGGCCTAGTTGATTGAATCATAATTTTTAGGAAAAATGACACTGTGTAACCACTTTTAAAATAATAGCCAAAAAATATATATATTGTGTATATATATATTTCTTGATTTTATTCGCAAAAACTATACAAATTTTACACATCTTTGCGGCTACCTATTGTAAGTAGTTTCGACTAGGGGCTAAAAGTCATCTTTACTAATTTTGGCAATAAGTACTTACCAATTGGACACAATTTAATTAATAGCCCAGTATGGCTCTACTATAACTTCTTTTTTTTCTTTTTTTCTTTTTTCTGTTTTGGATGTTTAAAATTTTTGTTCCACTAGAAATGATCTAGGAGTAACGATTCTCAAACAGTGAGAACTGCCAAAATGTAAAAATTACCAATATATTTGGAATTCCCTTTTTTTTTTTACGTTTAATATTAAACGGGGTATTTGCATCTATACCCGCTTTTTGGGTCACGTTTTAACTTGTGCCCGTTTTGCAAAAATAATTGCAAGCGTACCCACTTTTTCGTGTAACTTCAGTATACAGGGCTGAAGTAGCAAAGGCAATCACGCAAAAGTTCAGCATTCTAGTAGACGGGCCTGAAGTAGCAAGTGTGCTGAACCAAGTGTGCTGAAGTTTTTGTTTGTAATTGCTGAACTTAAGCATAGTAGCTGAAGTTTTGTTCTCTATTTACTGAAGTTTTTGTTTGCAATTGTCACGACCCAAGTTCGCCCTCCGTAAACTGTCGTGACGGCACCTAGTCTCTATGACTAGGTAAGCCTAACAATTGCGGAAAAAGGAACAAAATGCGGAAAACTGAAGATAAACAAATGTAGAAGTGTTTAAGATGCCGCTCGGCATATACCAATACAACATCTCAAAAACTGAACAATTCCCAAAACCCGGAATTCCATGAATCACAAGCTAAGAGATACATAAAAAGCTCTAACTCCAGAAATGTCTATCAACAAGGAAAATACAGAAGGGCTAAACTAGTACAGAGAATAGAAAGGGACTCCTCGGTCTGCGGACGCGGCAGATATACCTCGAAGTCTCTACAAAAACGCCTCGCCTCAAGGGTGATAAGAATGAGTGGGAGTACCTGGATCTGCACATGAAAAACATGCGCAGAAAGGGCATGAGTACACCACAGCGGTACTCAGTAAGTGCCAAGCCTAACCTCGATCGGGTAGTGACAAGGAAAGTCAGGGCCCTACTGAGGTTAAATGAAATACAAGGTATAACAGTATAGAATAAGACAGTATAGTTAAGTGCAACAGTAAGAAGTAACACAGGATAGAAAGAACAACAACAGCTATAACAGAGACAAAATAATCACGGAAAGGAATACAGCTCACACAGAGATAACAACCGGGGATCTCCCAGGATACCATCCTGTAGTCCCAAATATAAATACCCAGTGGATCACCCGGGATACCGTCCCGTAGTTCAAATGTAAATATCCAGTTGATCTCCCGGGATACCGTCCCGTAGTTCAAATGTAAATATCCAGTGGATCTCCCAGGATACCGTCCCGTAGTCCAACTCATAGTGCGCGGGGATCTACCGGAATTTCGATCCGTAGTCCCAAATGTAAATACTCAGTAATGGGAGAATCTACCGGGTGCAGTCCCGTAGTTCCAATGTAAAAGTGCAGGGGGATCTCCCGGAATACAAATCCGTAGTCCCAAAGTAAAAATACATGGGGGTCTCCCAGGATACCGTCCCGTAGTCCCAAAGTAAATACACAGCAGCAACACGAAGAATACTCAATTCAATCAAATTTCACACCAAGGTAAAACAGGTATTTCTAACCTAGCATGCTGCACATAATTCAAATAAGGTAGTTGAGCAAATAAGCAATTAAGTCAATTAGATATGCTTCCCTAAGCTAACAGCAAGCTTAAATTGCAAGTAGTATAAACAGGAAAGGAAACACAATTTTAGTTACTTAATGAAAACCGAATTTTCAACAATTAGCACAAGTACGCACTCGTCACCTCACGTACATGGCATTATTTCAAATATCAACAATACCAAATCCTAAGGGGAGTTCCCCCACACAAGGTTAGGCAAGCCACTTACCTCGAACCGGCTCAAAAATCAACCCGAAACCACGCTCTTGCCATGAGTACTCGACTCTAAATGGCCCAAATCTATTCAAATCAAATTACATAATGTAAATAAAACTCCAAGTAACTGATTCCACTAATTAATTCTAAGCTAATACGCGAAATTAGGAAAAATGACCAAAACGCCCCCGGGACCACGTCTCGGAATCGGGGAAAAACTTACAAATTCAGAATCCTCACACTCTCACGAGTTCATGCATACCAAAATTACCAAAATCGGACCTCAATTGGTCCCTCAAATCACCACTCAAGCTCTCTAATATCAAGCTCTAATCCCTCAATTTTCTTCCTTAATTTCCACTAATACCACGATTTAAAAATGGAAAAATGATCATAAACTCAAGTATTGAAGCTTAGGTAGCTTACCTGACTGAAAATCTCCGATTTCCCCTTGAAATTCACTGCCCTAGCTCACTTCCCGTCTTCAAAAATGGAGAACTTAGAAAAAATTCGCGAAGGAAACCTTATATACTTTCTGACCCAGGGATTCCGCACCTGCGGTCCATTACCCGCTTCTGCGGTCTAACCCACCGCATCTGCGATTCTCACTTAAAGGCCTAGGACCGCACATGCGGTCGCTCACTCGCACCTACGCCATCGCAGATGCGTCCAGGCATCCGCTTCTGCGGCTCCTCGCGACTCACCTCTTGGCCGCTCCTGCGGCTTGATTCTGCATCTGCGGGAGTCGCACCTGCCGTCTCTCAACCGCAGATGCGGTTATGACAGCAGCCATAAACTTCAACTGCAACTCCAAATTCCTAACTTTCCGTCAACTATCCGAAATCACCCCGAGGCTACCGGGACCTCAACCAAAAGCACAAACAAGTCCAATACCACTGTTCAAACTTATACAAATCCCCAAAACACCTCAAACAACATCGAATCAACCAATTAGCATCGGATTCAAGCCTAAGAACTTCAAAAACTCTCAAATTACGCTTTCGATTAAACAGTCTATCAAACCTCATCCGAATGACCTGAAATTTTGCACACACGTCAAATTCAACACTACGGAGTTACTCCAACTTCCGGATTTCCATTCCGACCCCGATATCAAAACCCACTATCGAACCAGAAACTTCAAAAATTCAACTTTCGGCATTTCGAGCCCAATTTAAGCTACGGACCTCCAAAATACAATCCGAACACGCTCCTAAATCCGAAATCACCCAACGGAGCAAACGGAACCAACAGAATTCCATTCCGAGGTCGTCTTCATACTGTTCCGACTACGGTCCAAATTCTAAATCTTACGCTCTCATTTAGGGACTAAGTGTCCCAAAACTCTCCGAAACTCCAAATAAATCCTCCCAGCAACTCACAATAGCAGAAATAAATACGGGGAATTCAGTTAATAAGGGATCGGGGCGTTAATTCTTAAAACGACTGGCCGGATCGTTACAGTAATTGCTGAACTTAAGCATAGTAGTTGAAGTTTTGTTCTCTATTTGCTGAAATTTTGTTTGTAATTGCACCAAATAAGCTGAAGTTTTTTTGTCCTGGATTCATTAGTTTTGTCATTAAGCTTTTTCAAAAACTTCAGTAGAAGATGCTGAAGTTATTTAGTTCATTTATAAAAACTTCAGCACTAAATAAGCTGAAGTTTTTTGTCCTGGATAAGCTTTTTCAAAAACTTCAGCAAAAGATACTGAAGTTATCTTCAGCACTAAAAGCTGAAGTTTTTTTGTCCTGGATTCATTAGTTTTGTCATAAAGCTTTTTCAAAAACTTCAGCAGAAGATGCTGAAGTTATTTAGTTCATTGGTAAAAACTTCAGCACTATATAAGCTGAAGTTTTGAAAAAGTTTTCTAACATACTAGATAAATAATCAGATTGCCAACAGTATCTAAATCATAAATTTTGGAAACAATAAACTTGAAAAGAATAGAATTATCATTGTCTACTAACTTACGTAGGTGGAAATATTCACAAATTATTGTCTACTAACTTACGTAATTATTTATAATTTGTTTTTAAATAATCTGATAAACATATTTATAGCAATCATCCCATGAACTGAAGTTTCATAGCAGCACCAACAGCAGCAGCAGCAGCAGCAGCAGCAGAAGAAGAAGAAGAAGAAGAAGAAGAAGAAGAAGAAGAAGAAGAAGAAGAAGAAGACGAAGGAGGAGAAGGAGGAGGAGAAAGGCGGCTGAAGTTGTTTAAAAGTGGGTACAAGTTAAACCTTTTTAAAAAAATAGGTATAGGTTAAATGGGGGCGACCAAATAGGGCGCCCCGTGCAATTTTTACTTATTAAACTTATTGGACTTTTCGAAAATGCTGAACAATAAGGTAGACCTACTTGTTGTAACTTGTAAGCCCAATAAGATAATGGTGCAAATGTGACAAATTTTGGATACAGCCCTTCTGAGTAAACCCAATAAAGAGCCTGTTTGGATTGGCATAAAAAAAGCGACTTCATAGCAGAAATAACTTTTAAGCCAAAAATAATAAATTGGGATTACCTAGTTTATTGCTTTTGGCTTATTTTAAGTAATTTTTAATATTTTTTAAGCACTTTATAGCTTAGTCAAACACTGAAAAAAGTTAAAAAGAACTTAAAAGCTTATTTGACCGGCTTAAAAGCCAATCCAAACTAAGGCTGTGCATGGATCGGATTGGATCGGATTTAGCATGTTTCGGATTTGGATTTCGGATTTCGGATTCTGAAAAGGGCAATCCGAATCCGATCCGAATTAACATTGGATCGGATCGGATTTTAAACTTTGGATCGGATAATTTTTCAGATTGTCGGGTCGGATTGTCACAAAATTACTGGTTAGGACTTAGGACCATTCATCTCCTAAAACACCATTCAATCAGAAAAAACCATTCATCTCCTAAAGCACCATTCAATCAGAATCAAAAAAATTGAGTGAATAAACACCATTCATCTCCTAAAACACCATTCAATCATATTGAGATTCACTGTTGTTGGTTGTGAAATTAGTTGAAGCATCTCTTTCACCAAAATTTTCAACAATTTGAAGTTTATTCGGTGTCTCTGTCTCATCTTCCATCTACCAAAACAAAAAAAATCAAAGTAAAATCAAAAGTTGAAAAATAGAACATGACTGAGACATAAAAGACATAAGAGAAGGAAGAGAGGCGGAAGAAAGAGACATAAAAATCAAAGTAAAATCAGAAGTTTGAGACTTTGAGTCTTTGAGACTCTTCAGTCTTCACTGAAGAGAAGAGAGGCGGAAAAATCTAAGTGAGTGAGGGGGTGTGTAAAAAATGAATAACCCTAAAATTTTAGTGTAGTATTTATATAGGTACATATAGTTTTGGATTTCGGATCGAATCGGATTTAGATCATACCAATCCGAATCCAATCCGAAAATCCGAAATTTTATAAAACACAATCCGTATCCAATCCGAAAATCCGAAATCCAAAAATTCGAAATGGAGTGGATCGGATCGGATTTCGGATATCCGATCCAAATGCACAACCCTAATCCAAACACCCTCAAAATGCGTGAGCTTGCATAAATTGTCGGTTTCAAGCTTGAACAAAATAAGGTAAATAGCGGTAGCCTAGCGGCCAATGTAAAACTCATCAATTTCATCTTAAATTGTGCCTAATAAACAAAATAAAAGGACAATCCGATGTATTAAGTTTCCGCTATGCGCGTTGTAAAAAAGGATCGGACAACATTACATCTATCGCACAATGTCGTTGGTGCCTATCATTTTTACAAGAGGGCGTTTCTAAATGTTAAACACTAATAATTGAGATACAAAGAGATTTTTTTTTGTTAATTGCTACAAGTAAAATAATTTCAATTTTTATGATGTATTTTCTACATGAATCCACCTTACTTTCAATGTTAAAAAATAACATATTCCAAAGAAGTTGAAATAATAATGCTATAACAACAAAGAAGCTAGCTAGGTTTCATTTATGTGAAGCAAAACTTCAATGCTATGCTAAAGCCATTCTTTTCTTTGCTTGTATGTATATACTTCTTAGGCTCCCATATTTTTAGAATTACAACTACCTATAAATTAAAACCCTACTGTTCTCATATTCAAACTTCAATAAGTCCTAAAAGTTCAGCAACATTAGACAATATTTTTCATAAAATCATCAGAAAATATGCCTATCTATTCTTCTGATTCTGATGACCTACGCCCTTCATCTTCAGCACCTCCCAGAAGATTTTTTACTCATGAAAAACCCATGCATGCAATTCTTGGAGGAGGAAAAGGTATATTCATTTATTTATTCTTTTAAAAAATTCAATTTTGCAGCATTTCCAATTCTAAATCTTTTAGCTATTTTCCGACCCACTTAAAAAAAAATTATTTTAAAAATCATGATGTGTCACATGGTGAAAGACGAAAGTAGAGTCACGTAGATATTTTGTAAGGTGAATTATTAACGTGACTATACTTACATGACAATTTTATTTTAATTAGCATATTTTTCTTTCTTTTTTCTGATATATAGGCGTAGTTGAGTTAGATACTAGTATAAAAATTAGTTTTATGACTTTAGATACATTTTATGTAGTTTCCACGTTATTTTATATGGCATTATTACTAGTTATTGTTATTGCTTTTCCATCTATTTTCTGTTTCTTACGATACTGCTGATATTACTTTTTTGGCTTCTGTTGCTGTCACTGATCTATTGTCTATTATTTATTTTCTTCTTCTTGAGCCGAATGTCTTTCGGAAATAGCCTCTCTACTCCTCCAGGGTAGGGGTAAGATCTGCGTACAGTCGTACGCTATACCCTCCTCAGACCCCACTTGTGGGATTTTACAGGGTGGTTGTTGTTGTTGCTGTTGTTGTTGTTGTTGACTTTATAGGTACAATAAACGGAAAGTTGAATAACAATCCATAAAATTATATAATGATATACCTTGGTTTTTTTCCTTTAATTTCTTTGCAGTTGCGGACATATTATTATGGAGGGACAGGACGTTAACAGCTTCAATATTAATGGGATTCACAGTAATTTGGTCCCTTTTTGAAGTTATGGACTACAATTTTGTGACTCTATTGTGTCACATCTCCATGATCTTGATGTTAATTCTCTTCATTTGGTCTATGGGAGCTGGATTTGTTGATTGGTAATTTTACACTATATATATTCGAGTTTAACATATATATATCGACAGTATAAAGAATTTTTATATTTATTATTTTGTAGGAGTCCTCCCGATTTTCGGGCAATTATGATATCAGATTCAACATTCAGATGGTTATGTGGGAAATTCAATTCTATTATAGGGAAATTCTATGACATTTCATCTGGGAAAGATTTAAGAACATTTTTCCTGGTACATATCACATTTCATATGCAATTTTATTCGGCCCTTTTCCTTTTATTTTCTATTGAATTTTGTTTAACTCCATTTTTTTTATGGGTCTAGGCAATCACTTTCCTATGGATATTATCAGTTATTGGAAATTACTTCAGCTCTCTGAATCTATTGTACTTAGGTAAGGTTTTCCAATCTTGACCTCATTTTTGTTTCTTTTATAGCATACTCACTCCGTTTCATTTTATGTGAATTTGTTTGACTGAGTAAATAATCTAAAAAAGAAAAAGATTTTTGGGACGTGTTTTTTTAAACATATACCATGACAATTTTGTGGCTGTGAACTCATGTCATTGACAGCAAAATGAGAAATCTAAAGTTAAATTATTTTCAAATATAAAAATGTGTCGTTCGTGTTTAATTCTTAACAGACTAAAAAGGAAATAATGCCCTTAAAGAATGGAAAAGTTCTATATTTGGAAATGATTTAACTTTATTTTTTTTTAAATTTTACCCCTAATGACATTCTTTTACCGCCACCAAAATATCATGTAATGTTTAAAACCGCATGCATGTTCCAAAATTAAATCTTTCTTAAATTTTGTGTCAAGTTAAATACACTCACATGAGATGAAACTGAGGGAATAATTAACACGAAAATCGAAAATATTCAAAAAGGCTGGATTCAAACTCGTGACAATATAATTCGAATTATATATGAATGGATGTGTGTTGAATTGGTTTGTAGGGTTTATGTGCCTGGCAACATTACCAGCTTTGTATGAAAGGTATCAAAATGAGGTGGATTATCTAGTAAGCCAAGGTAACCAAGATATGAAGAAACTATACAAGAAATTTGATACAGAAGTTCTAAACAAGATTCCAAGAGGACCTGTCAAGCAAAGGAAAAAGTATTAAGTCATCTCTCAAAGTTGAAAAAATAAAAAATAAAAAGAAGTTCAAGAAAATCAGCTGTGGATATGTTTGAATTGTAAACAATTTAATTGTAAATATAAATGCTGTAAAAGATGAAGAAATTATGTTGTTACTGCTGTAATTACTTGTAATTTCATACAACTTCGAGAGGTAATTTAATTGGACCATGCCTTCTTAGCTCATCTCTCATGATTTTAGATAAATCATAGATAACGAAGAAATCGAGGTTTATCTTTTCTTAATGAGTCTTATGCGACGTGGACATGATTTAATCAGACCAGTAAGTTATTATTATATATGAATAGTTAAAATGAAAAAGGATCATGCTTGTTGCCCGCTCATGATCGATTAGGTTGAAAAAATAAAGGATTTCTAACCATCTTATTATCCTATAACAGGGGCAGAGCTACAGTTCTACTTACGGGTTCGACAGAAATCACTAACTTTAATTCAAATCCTGTTCAATGCTCAGTTAGCTAAGTTTTTTCGAATTTAAAATTCATAAATTTAAAATTGTAGCTCTATCTCTGCTCGTGACAAGTGTCATATCCATAGGCGAATGCAGTGTGGAAGTTATGGGTTCAATTGAACCCATAACTTACGACGCGGAGTAGAAATTTATGTGTAAAAATTTTATAAAATTGCAAAAATAATAGATTTGAACTCATAACTTTAAAAATATAATGTGTTCAACGTTAAAAATCTTAAAAGTTGAACCCACAGAGTTTAAATCCTGGATCCACGTCCGGTCATATCCATCTATGTTACACGAAGACAAGTCCCAATCGTCATTGCCTCGAAGCTTAGAATTCATATACATAGATATGCTGGAACGTGAACCTCTGGAAGTTTCGATTACCTCATGAAGAATCTTTACATGCATTTAAACCAAATATCCAGATGTCACTGGATATTGTTTGAATTAAATGGAAGTGTTGACTTTCCATTAAGAGTTATTCAGGGTCTCTTATTCTCTTTTTTGTTTTATATATTTAGTTATTGTCTAGTACGCAGCAATAACTACGAAGATTAAAATTTCATGGCTATTTAAAAATGTCGTTAAATTTCTAAGTTATAAAAATTAAATAGTAAAAACTAATTCCTCATTTTTGCTATAATAATTGTGAAATGTTGTGGCAAGAATGACCAATTCACTCCAAGTTGTAATTAAGTCATACGCCAACTTATCCAACCAACTTACTCAATATTGTAATCGAACTACAAGCTAAATTACTTAAAGTTGTAAGTCTTTAGTATTTTTTTAACCTGTAAGTCAATTTACTTAAAAAGTTGTAGTCAAACTTCCCACCAACTCATTCCAGCTAGCAAACAAGTTACTACCAAACAACTTTCAAAAATAAACTAAAAATTCACAATATTGTTCTAGCAAGTGTGATGGTAGTAGCATGAGAACTCAATATTCCGAAATATACTATGATATCCTATGCACAACCATTTCTTGGCAACCAGAGAGGAGATAGCAATACGCTTTACAAGTTCGGCAGAACCCAGTAGCTTTAGTTCAAATTATGTATTTATCTTAAATAACTACTTTTATCCCGTTTAAACGTTTAAGCTGAAGCATAAGAATGACGGATTTGTGTCCATCGTGTGATCACAGCCGGTAACGCATTTCTCTTTTCTTGGGGGTCCCTGTGTAAGGGCGGACAGGAATGCCTACCCCTCTAAATCAGTCTTCCTCCGCCCGAATCGGAATCAAAGTAGTATCCACCTTCTTCCTTTGCCGGTATCCTAAGATCGATCTCTTAACTAAGTCATTTCACACGTTGCACTGAGAACAAGGGACTGATCCCGTACCGTGCTACTGCCTTAACCTAGGAAAACAATTGAATATGTACAAATTATTAATTTAAGACCCAACAACTTAAACGGATTACAACCCCAAACTCATAAGCTTCAAATCCTTGCTCATCATGTTGGCAACCACCTAACTAAACCTAATAAAGGGTAAGCATAAAGAGTATATATAATCAAGGGCTTTTTCCACTTTTAACCCCCAGCAGAAACTATTTACATTTGATAGCCGAAAAAGTGTATAAAATTTATATAATTTTTGTATATAACATAAAGAATGTATTTATATACATAAAATATACATTTTCCGACTATTATTTTAAGAGCGGCTATACAATGTCATTTTCCCTATAATTAATCAACTTGAACCTCCCAGTTTTATGAAAGGTCAAATAAAGGTATTTATCAAATCGAAGAAAAAAATATCCCACTAGTTACGCTCGACAACTTTTGCAATTGTGTGAATCACAAATAATAATCTGTTCCCACTACATTTAGCCATGTGCCCAAGTATTCTACCATATTTGGATAAGCACTGCCAAAAAGTCAGAACCCTTTACCCAAAACACAAGGTAGTTTATTTTGACCACTCATTATTAAGTCTCAACCATCCTTTAAAACCATCAACTGCCTTCCTAACATGATAGGAGAAACTCATTTTTTGGTGATAAGAAGTCAGTAGAACTGCTCTTATCAAAACACCTGTTAAAATAGCCACTTAGACAAAATATGGTTAGGGAATTGAAAGCAACAGTGGGAAGCTGGGAAGGAAGTGGTGTTGAAGATATTGCACAGATTGGCATTTGGGGTCTGTGGTTGATGATTTTGGTTAGTCTTTGTATCTTTTCAACAATCATCTTCTCTTGTGCAGATGGTATTTCTAAAGAGAAAGAAGCGACAACCCATACCGATAATTATGGCGCCGGATGTGGTGCAGGCTGTGGTGCCGGATGTGGAGCCTGAAAAGTAAGAAAAGGAAAGGGGGGAAAAAGGAAATAGTGAGAATCGAATCCACACCTATTATGTGGAAGACTTCCACTGATACTAGTAGACTATAAGTCTTGCTGAGAAATTCCTTTCCTTCTGCATACTCTCTATTTGTAATGGGGCTGGGTTTCTCTTGGGGGTTTGGGGAGGGGGCGGGTGATAGCTCGATTACATTTCATTGCAATACTATGGTGGCGATGTTCAACTGTACAATTCTCTGTCAGATATTTTTGTGAGTAGACAGTAAGCAATAGCCCAAAAAACGTCCTACTGAAGAAAAAGAATAACTTAAGTCAATGATTTAAGTATATAATTAACAGAAGCCTTGGTTAAAGGTCATAAAATTTAAAAACCAAGCATCAATTAATATACAAATGTTAGAAAGAATACCCATATCAGAGTATAACAATTCCTCGCATTCTCAGTTCTATGGAGACTTGAAAGAGAAAACTATGAAAGAACTGATAAAGCTTACTTTCTTGGTTATCACTATACTGTCCTTTTTGTTTTGCCCTTTATTTTTATGTTACATAGACAAGTAATTGCTTAGACAATGCCAAGTAACAATGCAGAAAGGTTAAGTGAAATTATGCAAACAGCTTACAAAAGGCCTTGACTCTTCCTAATTTCGGTGGAGGATATATCCACGCGGAATTTCTCGACCGGTATGGGGACAAACATGTCTTTTAGCTCTGCTGGAATGTCAAAATCCTCAAGAACCTAGAGAAATTACATGATACAAAATTCTTAAGAGCTTCGAAAAGCTAAAGTGATAAAATACATGAAGGCCGCAGAGAATTTGTTAGTGTACCTTGAAAGTTCCATTAACATTTCGACCACCAACTAGAAAAGTACATCCTGTGTTTTTACATCCCAGAAGTATCTCCAACATCTTTCCATAGTCATCACCATAATACTTTGGCTGGCAAGAGTAACTTGCAGAAATCAGTATGTACATCTTGTAAAGCTTCCTATTCTATAGCAGCTTATCGCCCCATTTATCAGAATAAGTTGATTATGCAAAATCAGAATTTAACCACAAAATAAAGACCACCTTTTCTATTTCCGAGCACACATCTTTGTTTAATCTCCTTCTACCAACTTAATCTTATAGTTTGACTGCCAATGTTTCTATACATAAATATAACTTTGCATCAGGTGCTAGTTCAGCAGATACTTTTAGAAACCAGCCGGATAGCTAGATTCTATCACAAATTTTGACACAAATTATCTTCCTACCAAAAATTGTGTTCCCAAACTAAGTAGATGAGACCATGAATTCTAGTCCAGTCAAACCTCTCTATAACAACCTCGTTTGTTCTGAATATTTTTGGATGTTATAGCGAAGTCCTGTTATAGAGAACATATATTATAACATAATTTAAAATAGGTTCCGGAAAAGTTGGCTTTTATAGTGAGGTGTTGTTATAGAGAGGTCTGATTGTACAAGAAAACACAAAAAGATTTAAGAAAATAAAAGGACACCAGCCTATCAAGTACCACCAACAATGCTGCCGTTTTTGTTCACTAACAAAAGTACAAAACATGAAGCACACGGTCCCAGCATTTTCCAGATAGGCAGATTTCTATTACTGTTAAGCCCAAGTTTAACTATCAGCAAACATCAAGGGCAGCCCAAGAAACCTTTCACCTCAGCATGTAATGAGCTACAAAGACTTATGAATACAGTGACAGAGAAAGGGAGCAAGCTACTCTGCAGCAAAAGTCTTTAGAATAATTGATATAGGTAATATCACACATCAAATTGAATTACAGCTCTCTTTTTTTGGATGAAGTATTATTGAACTACAGCTCTTCTGATGTCAAAGCTACTAAAAGGTGTCATAGCATTGAAGTTGAAGTCTTTACCAAAAGAGTTGTGGGACACTTGACCAAAAGAATGTAAAATAACTAAATAAGATAGTGATACAACCTAGGGAGAACCACACCCCAAAAGCTAGCTATTAAGGTGGGAGAGCCCAAGGCTACATAAATCCCACATCAACACTTTGTAGCACCGATGTGGGACTCAAGTCTCATTCCTTGCAATAGTTCATAACAAAGCACCACGCTCCGCATCCGTCGTCCTGGACGGCTATGCGCTAGACATTTCTAGCCCCGGGCGAACACTGCAATACCGGCGTCACCATCCAAGGCACGGTGGGCACAGAGAGTGGTGGATGGCTCTGATACCATTGATACAACCTAGGGAGAACCACACCCCAAAAGCTAGCTATTAAGGTGGGAGAGCCCAAGGCTATATAAATCCCACATCAACACTTTGTAGCACCGATGTGGGACTCAAGTCCCATTCCTTGCAATAGTTTAAATGGGACTTGAGTCCCACATCGGTGCTACAAAGTGTTGATGTGGGATTTATATAGCCTTGGGCTCTCCCACCTTAATAGCTAGCTTTTGGGGTGCGGTTCTCCCTAGGTTGTATCAATGGTATCAGAGCCATCCACCACCCTCTGCGCCCACCGTGCCTTGGATGGTGACGCCGGTATTGCAGTGTTCGCCCGGGACTAGAAATGTCTAGCGCACAGCCGTCCAGGACGACGGATACGGAACGTGGTGGTTTGTTATGAACTATTGCAAGGAAGGACTTGAGTCCCACATCGGTGCTACAAAGTGTTGATGTGGGATTTATGTAGCCTTGGGCTCTCCCACCTTAATAGCTAGCTTTTGGGGTGTGGTTCTCCCTAGGTTGTATCAGGGAGATGACCTAGAAAGTCAAAGAGCACATAAAGTGCATAGACCGCTCTATAACTTATGGTTCTTTAGGCAAGTAGTGAGAACCCAAGGACAGTTCTGGGAAACAACATTTCCCAGACAGAAAGAGGTCGACGCTTTTCTGATGTTATGTTATTAGAAATGAAAAGCAAAATACTTAGAGATGTATGAGAGTGAGAGAGAGAGAGAGAGTGAGTGAGAGAGAGAGAATGATATCGAATTTACTAAATTCTTGATTTCATGTAATCACAATTTTGTAGAAGAAATTGACAAAACCTTACATGTACAAGTCTTGCAACTGTGTCAGCACCAATGACAAAAGCACTGCCAGGAAAAAGTTCTGCTTTCTTGTAGAAATATGGCTGGTTAGACACTATCACCGTCTTTCCTGCATTTCAAAGGCTGAAGCCATTCAAACACCAGCATATTTTGATAATGGAAGTAGGGAAGAATTTAATGCCACGGCTAAGTCTTTTCTCTTCTCGGATAACATGAAATTTGGAATATTACTTCTCTTCATACTAGGATATGAAACTGGTATGGCTAAACTGTACCGAGAGCATATACTTCTCTCGAATTTCTTTTTCTTGTGTTTCTATTTGTATTGAATTAATAACGGAGAGGCGCTTTAATGATCAGTTTCCATCAGATGGTACGAGAAAACCTCAAACTACAGTTCAGCATTCAAAGCCTTCGCGAAGTGTTGGAAAAGAATCAAAAACAAGCTCATCATAGCCAATTCTCAACCCCTGCTTTCTGTGAGGTCTCAATTTAATTTGACGAAAAAATTAACTTCACTTTTCTATTTGTTAGTTTTATTGTATAAATAGTAGTAAATAACCCTAATCCCATATGTATTAGGAGTAGGACATGTATTGTATATATAGGGCTCATTGTAGCATTGACAATTAATTAATCAATAATAGATTCTTCTCCCGTGCATTCTCACATGGTATCAGAGCATCGGTGAGAAAAGATCGTTGTGCGTCATTCCAACGACATCCGGGAAGAAAGAACTCTGTCACCGTGCAATTTTCCGGTGACCTAAGTGACTGATTGCGTCAAAGTCACTAATTATCAGTGTTGTGCAAAATCCAACACCACCACAAGGTTCCCAAGAGAGATCCGACCAAACCCCAGAAAAATCCACCGGAAAATACCCACCCACGGCGCCGTCACGCGCCTGTCGGAGTTACAGACGCCGGCGCGTGTGACCTCTTCCGGTCAGATTTTGAAAACAATTCTTCAGGACAGCTTACTCTCCTCATTTTTCCGAGCCTACCCATCAAGTTTACATCAGATTCCGACGACTTTTTTTATTTTCCGGCGAGCTAGGTGAACAGTAACAGTCAAACAGTGATTTCCAAACCATTTTCTGACCTTTTCCGGCGTGAACATTATAATGTCATTCTTAGACTCACAATTCGTTGGATCGAATGCATTAAATCCAATCCAGATGGTTTCTTTACCGGATTATATTGAGTTCCTTCAGTACAAAGCACGTAAACAGACATCTTCAGGATTAGCCTCCGTTGTTCTAACAAATAGTAGCATGAATTGTGTCTCCCAATCTTCACCTTCTGAGTCTTGGGTCATTGATTCAGGTGCATCTGATCATATTTCTGGTAACAAATCTCTTTTCACTAGTATCTCATATTCTCAATCTCTTCCAACAGTCACAATGGCCAATGGGTCTCAAGCCATGGCAACTGCAATAGGTCAAGCAAGTCCACTTCCTTTCTTACCTTTAGACTCGGTTCTTTATGTTCCTGGTAGTCCTTTTAATCTCATAGCCGTTAGTCGCTTAGCCAAATCACTTAAATCTGCTGTTTTATTTCTTGATGACCTTGTTTTTACACAGGAACGCAGTACAGGGCGGATCATTGGTATCGGACGTGAATCAGATGGACTTTATTACCTTATCCTTGCAAAATCACATGGACTCGCATCTTGTCTTCCTCCAATAACTTCTCTCGTTACTGATTCACCAGATTTACTACATAAACGGTTAGGACATCTCAGTTTGTCAAAACTTCAGAAAATGGTACCTGGCTTATCTCACTTGTCCACTCTAGAGTGTGAGTCGTGTCAGCTCGGTAAGCATACCCGCTCCCATTTCCCGCGGCGTCTTGATAATCAAGCAGAGTCACATTTTTCTTTAGTACATTCAGATGTTTGGGGTCCTAGTCGGGTTAGTTCTACCTTAGGATTCCGCTACTTTGTCAGTTTCATTGATGATTATTCCAGGTGCACTTGGATATTTTTGATGAAAAATCGATCTGAGTTGTTTTCTATTTTCCAGACCTTCCACGCTGAAATTCAAAATCAATTTGGGGTTTCTATCAGTACATTTCGTAGTGATAACGCCCTAGAGTATTTGTCTTCCCTATTTCAGCAGTTTATGAACTCCCATGGGATTATTCATCAAACATCTTGTCCGTACACATCCCAACAAAATGGGGTAGCTGAAAGAAAGAATAGACATCTTATTGAAACTGCTCGTACCCTACTCATACAATCTCATGTTCCGCTACGTTTTTGGGGGATGCAGTTCTTACATCTTGTTATCTTATTAATCGTATGCCATCTTCAGCTATCCAAAATCAAGTTCCATTCTCTGTCCTGTTTCCCCACTTACCTTTGTTCTCTCTTCCACCCCGTGTTTTTGGGAGTACGTGCTTTGTTCATGACCTTACTCCAGGAAAAGATAAGTTAGCTCCTCGTGCTCTTAAGTGCATATTTCTGGGTTACTCAAGAACGCAAAAGGAATATCGATGTTATTCTCCTGACCTTCAGCGATTTCTTATGTCTGCTGATGTTACCTTCTTTGAAACCCAGTCATACTTCACAGGTCCAGTTAATCACTTAGATATTTCTGAGGTGCTACCCGTTCCTTCTTTTGGAGATTCAGTCCCTATCTCCCATTCATCTTCCTCCATAGCTCCACCGCCTACAGTTCCAGTTGCAACTCCACCACCTATAGCTCCAGTGTCATCACCGAGTCCAGTGCCACCACCTAGTCCAGCTCAACCTTCTACAGCTCCACCACTCCTGACTTATCATCGTCGTCCGCCCCCAGCATCAGGCCCAGCTGATTCACGTCCTGCACCTGACCCTGCTAATACTGCGGACTTGTCTCCTCTTAATCAGCCGATTGCACTACGAAAAGGTATACGGTCCACACTTAATCCTAATCCTCATTATATCGGTTTAAGTTACCATCGTCTCTCATCATCTCATTGTGCATTTGTGTCATCTTTGTCCTCTGTTTCCATCCCTAAGTCTACAGGTGAAGCACTATCTCATCCCGGATGGCGACAGGCTATGATTGACGAGATGTCTGCTTTACATATGAGTAGTACTTGGGAGCTTGTTCCTCTTCCTTCGGGTAAATCGACTGTTGGTTGTCGTTGGGTGTATGCAGTCAAAGTTGGTCCAGATGGCCAGGTTGATCGACTTAAGGCTCGTCTTCTTGCCAAAGGATATACTCAGATATTTGGACTCGATTACAGTGATACTTTCTCTCCCGTGGCTAAAATTGCATCAGTCCGCCTTTTTCTATCCATAGGCTGCTGTTTGTCATTGGCCTCTCTATCAGTTGGACATTAAGAATGCTTTTCTTCATGGTGACTTTGAGGATGAGGTTTATATGGAGCAACCACCTGATTTTGTTGCTCAGGGAGAGTCTAGTGGCCTTGTATGTCGGTTGCGCCGGTCCCTCTATGGTCTAAAGCAGTCTCCTCGAGCCTGGTTTGGTAAGTTCAGCACAGTTATTCAGGAGTTTGGCATGACTCGTAGTGAAGCAGATCACTCTGTATTTTATCGACATTCTGCTTCAAGTCTCTGTATTTATCTGGTCGTTTATGTTGACGATATTGTTATTACCGGCAATGATCAGGATGGTATTAGTAAGTTGAAGCAACATCTCTTTCAGCACTTTCAGACTAAGGATCTGGGCAGATTAAAGTATTTTCTGGGTATTGAGGTCGCTCAGTCTAGCTCAAGGTATTGTGATCTCACAATGGAAGTATGCCTTAGATATTCTTGAGGAGACAGGAATGACAGGTTGTAGACCTGTTGACACTCCGATGGATCCGAATTCTAAACTTCTGCCAGGACAGGGGGAGCCTCTTAGAGATCCTGCAAGATATAGGCGGTTGATTGGTAAATTAAATTACCTCACAGTGACTAGACCTGACATTTCCTTTCCTGTGAGTGTTGTGAGTCAGTTTATGGATTCTCCCTGTGATAGTCATTGGGATGCAGTTGTCCGCATTCTTCGGTATATAAAATCAGCTCCAGGCAAAGGCTTATTGTTTGAGGATCGAGGCCATGAGCAGATCGTTGGATACTCAGATGCTGATTGGGCAGGATCACCTTCTGATAGACGTTCTACGTCTGGATATTGTGTCTTAGTATGAGGAAATTTGGTGTCTTGGAAGGGCAAGAAACAGAATGTGGTTGATCGGTCTAGTGCAGAAGCAGAATATCGAGCAATGGCTATGGCCACATGTGAGCTAATTTGGATCAAACAGTTGCTCAAGGAGTTGAAATTTGGTGAGATTAGTCATATGGGACTTGTGTATGATAATCAAGCTGCTCTTCATATTGCGTCAAATCCAGTGTTCCATGAGAGAACTAAACACATCGAGATTGACTGTCACTTTGTTAGAGAAAAGATACTCTCGGGAGATATTGCTACAAAATTTGTGAAGTCGAATGATCAGCTTGCTGATATTTTCACCAAGCCCCTCACTGGTCCTCGTATTAGTTATATATGTAACAAGCTCGGTACATATGATTTATATGCACCAGCTTGAGGGGAGTGTTAGTTTCATTGTATAAATAGTAGTAAATAACCCTAATCCCATATGTATTAGGAGTAGGACATGTATTGTATATATAGGGCTCGTTGTAGCATTGTCAATTAATTAATCAATAATAGATTCTTCTCCCGTGCATTCTCACACTATTGGTTCCTTATCAAGGATATGTCTGAATGCAAATAGAGTTCTGTTACTCTGTATAATAGAACCAGAGGCAAGCAAGACCACCACGCCATTCTAATATCACTTTCCTCTGCTAAATATTTCCTTTCTCCTTTTTCTTCTATTGAAACTTAGATAACTCAAGTTTGGAACCATTTCACCTGGTACACTGATCCTCTTCAGAGGTTTGATTGATCTAAATTTCATCACTATCTTAGACCTTGCTTTTCATTTTACAATACCTAAAGATTAAAAATATTAAGATGTGCGTAAAACATGATAACATATATGTACAGTCATACCAACTTTTTCAAATTGCTTAACACGATCTTTGATTTGAGATATTGCCAATGGAGGTTTGTCTGCATTGACAGCTGACAACTCAAAGCATGGATATCCACCACCACAAATGCTGCATGAAATAAAAACATGAAGTGAATAATATTCCACAAAAAGCATAATATTTCTCTCTGCAAGTGAAGCCTTCAAACTCGAAGCTCAAAAATGTGCTACACATCTTCTCGTTTCTTTTCCCTGTAAATTTTGAAGGAAAAAGTTTGGCACTCTGCAGAAAGATTCCTTAAGAGATAAACATATCTTTTCTCAATCTGTACAAGAAATCAATCTTTTCAATAGTTGAAAATCACACTCGATGGTTAGAGATGTGTACCTAGTTGCAATTTCCAAGAGCTTAACGTGACCATCATGCAATGGATTAAAGGAACCAGATAGAATTATTTTCCTTTGTGCATCAGACGTGTCTACAAAATTCCTGTATCAACATATGTACTGAATCTTTGGCTTCTGAAAGTGAATATCTTGATTGCATTTAAACATACCTCTTGAGAATGGATACATTTTGAAGCATATAGTCCCGGTGAGAAGTTGCTCTAGCTCTTCATCTTCGTCAAACTGCCTTTCATATTCATCTGGAACTTCTGATTCAGTCAAGTCTGGAACAAATGTTCCTGGAACCTTGCTAGCATTTGCAATTGCCTGAACCAGATGGCAGAAGCTAATATAATAGGATAGATAAATCAAGTATAGAAGGATTAGCCATGTGCTCATACATTTTGTTCAGTCATATGTACATTTAGCTAATGAAACCAGTGCAGTTGTATGTTGAACTTGTATAATCACCCAAATCGGAGTATGAAACGTTCTAATTCCTCTTTTAGAAAATATCTCAAAATTTTATACACACCTTGATTAAGTATTGACTTGAGACTCCATCTTCCTGCTCACGAGTCCGCAGCCCCTGTATTTGTTCATTCAGTTTAAGCGAAATAAATACTTCAGCAATTGAAATCCAAATATCCTAATATAAAGAAGGTAAAGATGACAACATGAGAAATACGCATGAATAATACCTTAGTTAAAGTAACAGTCGAGGACCAAAGCCGGTCAGACGTTCTGGTTGACAAGTGAAACCTACTCATAAAGCACTAGCTTAGAAGGAGATCCAAATATTGATGTGCAACTGAAAGAGTTATACATTCACAAATCAAAAATGGCAATGCTAGGAACACCAATGACTTGTCAAAGGCATCTTTGTAGAGATCCAAACATGGTCTACAGGCATCTTGAAGGGATAGAAACATTTCAGACTTAATTATAGCAACAATGTTTGGTGCTTTATTCTAACACGAACACAACTCAGCAACATTTTTCGATAGAAGGATCCGTCTGTGTTCTTAACATCATGCATATAAGATATCGACAAAAGTTCTTGCTTTCTTGATAATAATCATCGGCAGAAGAAAGAATACAAATTCAAAATCAGGTTGCGCATGTGGTATTAACAAGAAGTTCATCAACCACAGAAAAAATATACTATCCCTGATTGCAGAATCTTTTCTCATGAAAAATGAGGAAAAAAGGGCAGTTATTTCCACCCACATCATAAAGATCAAGGAGGAACAGCTGTCATTAATAACATCTTGTGCTTGGATAACCACCCTCTAGTTAACCAGCCCCACTTTTCAAAGAGAAATATACTAATATATCTTAGCATATCTTGTTTTCCCTTAATTTGATCCATTTAATGTTGTAAGGAAAAGTGAATGGTAATTAGGGTAGTCACACTATAGAACAGAAACCTCATGTGAATCATTCAATGAAACCTGCCCTATACCCCTCCTAGTGAATCTAGGAAACATACAACAAAAATGACAAACACCGAACACAAGGTGCTCCTAAGCGAATAAGAATCTGAAAGGATATATCAGGGTAAACTGACAGATGCAACAAGAATACCTATGATCTCCACGTTTTGGACGTGCACTAGCCAAGGCACCAGTAAAACCCACACCCAAAACTGGTGAACCTGTACATTCAAACAAATTTCTGCATGTTAAATAAAAACAACATAGATCAAAGAATAAAATGCTACTCCCTCCGGTCCACAATAAGTGACCAATTTGCTTTTTTATTTTGGTCCAAAATAAGTGTCCATTTATATAATCAAGACAGAATTCAAGTTGTTTTTACAAAATTAACCTTATGTCATATCCCTAAAAAGTTTTCTTACTCCTCACATTAAATATTTAATTAAGGGTAGTTTAGTCATACTAGGTATTTTTGTATAGAATTTAGTATTTTTCCTAATGGGCGTGCTAAAAGCAAATTGGTCACTTATGTGGACCGGAGGGAGTATTAAATAATAAATGAGGAAACTTTGTAATACACATAGGCGTAAAACAGTCTACCTTTGACTCAAAGTGACATCACTAGTTTTACGACCATACACACAATCCAACATAAAAATGAGTAGTGATAAAAATCTGGTTTCTCCTTTTTGTGAAAGAGATCATTTATCAGAAAGAGTAATAACAAAACCTGTGCTGATACCTAGTAACTGAAAAGATGGTACATTTTGGCTTCTAGACTGTACATTTAACCTTTATACATCTTCAATAGCAAGCACAAATTTCACACTAGAATGTGTATTATAGCTTGTGCCTTGTCATAACAGGAAAACCTTCATCATTTAGCCAAGGCATACAAATCATTACAGATACCTATATCAAATAGACCACTCATGATTAACTCAAGTGGTCATCTATGATATGAGCTGTATAGTGTCTTCCAACCACTTGAATTTGACACTTGAAAGTTTTGCTTTCTAAATCAATTGTCAACACGCTTAACTATCAATGAACTAACATCAACACTAAACTAGTTAGAGTCAGCAAAAGATGCGACATGAGGACTCTCCATGAAGTTCACACCCTAGTACTATGATCGCCTAAGCACACTTTACTTCCGAGTTTTGATATGATCCATTACATTATTGTTAGTATGATCGCATCTCTCACATCTTTAATCTATTTACCTGCCTCCTTTATTCTTAGAGCTGGCTATGCTTTGGCTGCTCATACGGAGTTTTCTCAATTCTCCTAACTACAATTAGAAAATTGAAATAAATGTGTGAGCCAAATTCGTTTAGCTAAGAGATGCATGTACATGATAAAACCACATAATTCACAATCGAACGACAAAAATTCCAATAAATCCAAAGTCAAGACCTGGTTTAGAAAGCTTTAATGCTCTATTATAAGCCAACAATGCCATTTCCTCAGCCGTTTGCGAACTAGCTGCTTGAGCAGGAACCTGTCCCAGACAAAAGGAAACTCGCAAATGCTTCAGCAGTAAAATCGCGATAATTTCAAATTCAATCAATAAAATATAAAAGAAAAATAACGATTGAACTTGAACATTAAATGACCTTGCCAAGTAATTGAATCAGAGACATTCTTGAATAAGTAACTATGGATTCAAGCACCGTGTTTGATGCTCCTGGAACTGACATCAACCACCCCAGTGCCTGCTCAAATTGTTATATTTCATCAAAAAAATGCTATAGCTCAGTTGATAACATATAGAGATGCCTTAATATCTCATATGAGTTTAACTTATGTACATTGGCAGAATATATTTAAACTTTTTATGCACTCATATTAAATTGACCTAAAACATGATATTGATCAGTTTTAATAACACTTCAAAAAAAGATGCTATGATCAGTTGATAACACAAAGATGTCTTCATATTTCATGCTTATGAGATAAACTTCTATCCACTGACAGTATATATTTAAAAAAACATTTACACAAAAATTGACCTAAGAAAAAAGTTATTAGCTGTTCATCACAAGTCCAATATGTAATTAAGAAAACAGTTTTACACTGTCAGTGCATACGCTTACCTGAGAGGCACCTCCGGAGAGATAAATGACAGCTTGAGTAGGAGAGGAGTGTATCGCTTCTACAAGAGCTCGAAGGCGACTATCGGTCATCGTCGCCGTTGCCGTCGCCGTCGATGGACGACTGCGATTACCTTCGCGTAATTTTTCGCCGATTTTGTCTCTTTTCGGTCAAATTGATTTCGTTGACACGGTATCGTTTCTAGCACTACAAGATATGAGGAAAGTGCCAAAGCGAAACCCGTAGTGTACCTATTCCTCTTTTGCTTTTCTTTTTTTCTTTTTTGGCGCAGCAAGAGAATATTGAAGTGGAACAATAAAATATCAAACTAAAATGAAAAATGAGATTTTTTTTT